GGGAGACATCAACTTTGTCAGATTCTGTTATTGACTACCATGAGACTGCCTTGCTGGAGAGGTCCTCGATAGCCCACCTGACTCCCAGCTTAAAGCCAGGACCCATGGCTGCCATGTGAATAAGCCATCATGGACAAGCAGCCCAGCTGAGCCTTCAGACTGACTGCAGCCCCGGCAGACACCTCACTGCAACCACATGACAGACTCCAACAGAGAACTGCCCATCCAAGACCTTCCCAAATTCCTGACCTACAAAATCATGAGCAAAATAAAATGGCTGTTTTGAGCCATTAAGTTTTGGGGTAAACTGAGATTTTACAGCACAAGATCTACTCACAGTTCCTAGGCGGTGAGTGCAAGGATCATAATGTGTCTGTTCATCACTGAATCTTCAGGCACACAAATGCCTGGTCTAGTCCAGCCATTTGGGAAATACTTATTAAAAGAGTAGACAAACTCAAGTGTTTGCCTTCTGGTTATAAGTCCCTGGGTATCAGCGATCATATCTTAGTTATCTGAGTTGTGGAATCAGACTGTACTTCTGTTGTGTGAGTTAGGATCACTGCACTGGGAGGGGCTTTTACACTCATTTACCCTTTTTGTTTAATCCTCCCATGAAAGATATAGGGTATGGCAGGCAGCCTCTAAAATGACCTCAACGGGCTGGCTGGTTAGCTCAGTTGGTTAGAGCATGATGCTGATAACACCAAGGTCCAGGATTTGATTCCTGTACAGGCCAGCCGCCAAAACAAACAAAAAACAGGCTGGCCGGTTAGCTCAGCTGTTTAGAGCACCAAGGTGTTATAGCACCAAGGTCAAGGGCTCTGATCCCCATACCAGCCACCTGCCAAAAGTAAAATAATAAAGTGGCCCCTGTGATTCCCCACCTCCTGGTATTTAAATCCTGTGAGTCCTTCCACATTGTATCAGAGTCAGCCTATGTGACAAAAATATAATTTATGAATAGAAAATTTGAGATGCAGTAAGGCCAACAGAGCAGGAGATGATTAGCATTGAAAAGAGTCTGTTGTGGCTCTCAAGAGGAGGGGGCAAGCCACGCCATAGGGCTGGCAGTGGGGACACATGGAAGCACTGGGGTCAGTCGGGGGGAACTGTGGGCAAGAGCCTTTACTGTGGTTTGAGAGGGGAGGGGTGGGCAAGGCAGGGTAAGCAGCATTAGGACTGGCTAGTTTGAATAATTTCAGCAGGCTCTGTGGCATAGGGGCTGTCCCTAATTGCCTGGTACCTAGCCCTGGGGTGATTAGGGCAGCAGTGCGAGAGCCTGATAAAGAAGGCTGTTAGGCGTGTGGGCTCTGGATTGGTTGGTTTGTATTTGAAAAGCCCATTCTCAAGCTAGCTGTTTACTATCCCTAGGTAACCTTGGGAGGGGCAGTCCCTCCTGGGTCAGCAAGGCCCCAGATGTAAAAGTATCAGAATATAGAAGATAAAAGACATGGTTAATACAGTGACCAGTAGAATATGACAGAAGTGATGGAGTGTCACTTCCAAGATTAGGTTGTAAAGATACTGTGTCTTTTATCTATCAGTTGTCCCAGGGAAAGTAAGTTCCCGTGTTGGAAGAAGTCCTATGGAGAGGCCCATGTGGCCAGGAACTGGAGCCTTTGGCCAACAGCCATGTGAGTGAGCCATCCTGCAGGTGGATCCTCTAGCCCAGTAATGAGGCCACTACCACCAGATGACAACGAGACTGCAACCTCTTAAGAGACCCTGAGCTGAAACCTTCCAGCTAAGCCTTTCTGATTCCTGACCTACAGAAATCAGTGAGATAATAAATATTTGTTGGTTTAAGCCATTACACTTTTACGCAGCAATAGATAACTAATACATGTGGTAGTAGCCTCATTTTATGGATGAACAAGGTGAAGTTCAGAGGACAAGATGACCAGTTCAAGGTCATGGAATGAACAAGTGACAAGAATGGCTTGCCCTCAGAGTAGGGTTTTTTTTTTTTTTCCTTTTTGTCTTTTTTACTGACCGGTAACAGGATCGCAACCCTCAGTGTTGCGCCCGCACCGTGCTCAGCCAGTGAGCGGGAACCGGTCTCCACATGGGATCCGA